TTTGTGTATGAAGATTTAATGAATATCTGCAATTGTTAAATTTTACATAAAATGTGTACATTGCAACAAGATCCGATCTCATCAATAAATAATAAACGTACATATTCAAAACAAATAAACAAATAAAATGTCCATTAGGGATGAATTCAGCTTGACTTGCAATTCAGCAAGGAGAAATTTTTCAATGTGAAGGGAATACGGTCCAGCACACCAAGTATCATAATACAACGGGTTAGAATTTTTTTCTTTTTTGGATTAATTATAGTTTGGTACCTTGAGGTTGCTTGGTTTTCAACATTTCATACATCAAGTTTTTTCGTCTCAGTCTGGTACCTAAAGTCATAGTTTTGGAACACTTTCATACGTCTGTTAAGCTTTTCATCAGAACTTCCGTTAACTGATGACGTGATGTCCACATGAATAATAATTGGTCGCCATGTATCAATCTGGTGCCTAATGGACATTAAAAAAATTAAAAACTAAAAAAAGTCTTCAAGATCCTTTGTTTTCAATTATCTAATAAATCGCTTAATGAAAGTAGATTATTTTCATTCATTTCCACGATCCCTTCTAGAACCAAACCTGAACCCTTTGATTAACTTGGCCCTCAAGCTCTATTTATTGAATTCCTTTTGAGAATTTCGTTGGGACCTAAAAGAATTCTGCCAATTCCTTCCAACCCCACCCCCCTTATATATATACATACTTTTCTTCCTTTCTCCCATAAAGCCTATTTAAAAAATTAAAATCTAGGGTAAATCTTAGTTTACTACCTTGAGTTTCTTGGTTTTCAACATTTCATACATCAAGTTTTTTTATCCTAGTTTGGTACCTAAAGTGATAATTATTGGACAATTTCATAAATCTGTTAAGCTTTTTGTTAAAATAGCAATTAACCTTTGACGTGATGACCATGTGAACAATGACTAGACACCACAGGTGACACACCCCGACCAAAATCAGGATGTGCTGGCCGTCACGTGAGAGTGACATAACCATGTGCACCGTGCGGAAGCTAAGAATAATAATAAAAGTACGAATAAATAAAAACCAAGCTATACACTAAGTAGATAACATACATGTGCAAGCATTAGTGTGAAAAAAAATATTCAGAGTGCAAAAGACCTAGTGCAGTCTAGGGGAACAAACACTAAATAAGCACACCCAGAGGTGGACCTACACTGGTGATAATCTGTAAGATATGCCGTGAATTCCTCGAGATCCACCAAAAGAGCTATCCAAACTAGAACTTGGAGGGGCACAAAACAAAAAGTGTGAGTGGGCAAAAACAAAGCTTTTCAAATCATTTCATTATCAAAAGTTCTAACCCCTCGCCGTAAAACCTGTATAGTTTTCCATAAAATAGCATATACACATATCTAGATAACATGCTTAGAAATATGCCATGTCGAATGCCTTTACATCAAATGTAAGTACTCAGGTAATAACAATCAATGCCATGTAATCTGTCAGCCAAAGTCACCTAACGTGACCTGTACGGCTGAATCTAGAGCTCAAATCCACCACTCACTAACTATACCTGCACATGAGTCGGAACCACCTAAAGTGGTATGTACGACAAGACTGGGTGTAAATAAATATGCTCAAGTGCTACGATCACGTGAAGACTGGGCGAATAATCGCGGGTCACCTACGAGTCGGAACCACCTATAGTGGTCTGTACGACAGGACTGTGCACCTAACTTGGATTCAAGATAAGCATGTGGTGCGGGAGGTGAACATCACGTGAAAGACTGTGCCCTACTCTGGGCGGGAGCACTAACACCGGGAGTGCAGGTTATGAGCTCTCTATGCATCTCAAATCACTACTAAACACAAACATAAACCATAACTTACCTGACATTTACCTGTGTGTCCGTAGCACCAAACATACATATATGCAAGTACTAATGCGTAAATAAATAGGCAAATGCAATGCATGGCATTTAAAACATATAAACGCTTCATTTCATTTTCTGGGAAAATCACAAGTATATATAGGTATATACGGAAAACCAAAAGCCCACTCACTGGTATGTAAAAGGGTCGTAACCCCCTTGCCTCGAGTGACTGCGCTCGTCCTCTGGATAGGTCTCACCTATATGCGAAACAACTATAAAAACGTTAATTTAAAGCACATAACCAAAACTAGGTAATAACTTCTCATACAATGCTCAAATGGGGTGTGTGAATACACCAACGTGATCTACTCAACCTCACGAACATTCCCATATTTTTAAAATAATTTTTCGACACCTCACGCGCCCCCATGCGCCTGCCAAGGCACGGCCACATGCGCCACCCACACGTAGGCATGTGCCTGGCACACTGACGGCATCAGTTAACGCCGTTAGGAATATTTCGTTAAAACTAATAGATTCTGTTACAGTTGACCTAACACCGTTAAGAATATTCCGTCCAAACTGACAGAATATTCCGTCGTCTTCTTTGGCCAACCGCCGGCGTCGTCGCCGTCACTGGAAAACTGGAAAAACTTCTAAACTTCATTTCTCAATCATTTTTCACCCAAATTTCATGAAATTGGTACCAAAATAAAGCTTACAACTAGAGGAACAAAACCTTACCACTTCCAAGCACTAAAACCAACGGAATCTCGCCGGAAAAACTTCACAAAATCCGGCCAAACCTGCAACTCACGATCCCGACGTCTAAAACCTTCAAACGAACTACCCCGAGCTTCCTAAGGACCTCACCAAGCTTCCTACAACCCTGAAATTCCCAAAAACACATGATTTTACGTGTGCATGAACAGTACCCCGAATTGAACATCTCGGGTTCGACGTGAAAACAAAGGTTTCCTTACCTGAAACGGGTATGGTTGAACTCGTATGAAGCTCACGAACACAATGGTCTAAGTCTCCACCACGATCTACAACGTTTTCGAAGGATTCGGTCTTGTCCGTATAAAGAAGAAAAAGCGAAAGAGAGAGACACACGGGACAGGGCAGAAAATGATAAGAATAGGTGTGGGTGTGTGTGTGTGGTCCAAAAGCAGCCAACCAAACCCCAAAACAACCACACAACGAAACAAAATCAATAGGGGCAAAACCGTCATTTCACACCTATGGTACGAAAAATCCGGGACGGGCTGTCACAACCTACCCACCTTAAAAAATTTCGTCCTGAAATTCATAACAACCACACACACCAACCACTAGCGATCAAAGAACAATCGAGGATACAAATCTCTCATCCGATCTTCTGTCTCCCAGGTAGCCTCCTCCACTGAATGATTCCTCCACAAAACTTTCACCAAATTCACAATCTTGCTCCTCAAAACCTTTTCCTTCCAATCCAGAATCGTTACTGGTTCCTCATCATAAGTCAAATCAGGATTAATTTCTAAGGGTTGAGGAGGTATCACATGTGACGAATCCGCAACATAATGACGAAGCATAGACACGTGAAAAATATTATGCACTTTAGCCAACTCAAAAGGCAACTCAAGCCTGTAAGCCATTTCACCAACTCGCTCAGTGATCATGTATGGCCCAATACTTCAACTGCTGGAAACTCTGCTCACAATTATCATCCCACTCAAATTTAACATTTTTCCTCGTTAACCTTGTCAGTGGTAAAGCAATCACGGGAAAATCCTTCATAAACCGTCGATAATACCCTGCCAAACCAAGGAAACTCCTCACCTCAGTGACGGTTCGTGGTTGCTCCCACATCTCCACTGCTGCAACCTTTTGAGGATCCACCAAGATACCTTGAGCAGAAATGACGTGCCCTAAAAATGCCACTTGATCCAACCAGAATTGACACTTGCTAAACTTAGCATACAGTTGGTGTTCCCTCAACCTTTTCAACACCAAAGTAAGATGTCGAATATGCTTAGATTTAGACTTAGAGTACACCAAAATATCGTCAATGAAGACAATAACAAACCTATCCAAATACGGCTGAAATACTCGGTTCATCAAATCCATAAAAGCTGCTGGTGCATTCATCAATCCAGATGGCATAACCAAAAACTCGTAATGACCATAACGAGTCCTGAAAGCTGTCTTAGGGACATCCTCCCTACTGATCTTCAACTGATAATATCCAGACCTCAAGTCAATCTTGAAGAATACACAAGCACCCCGAAGCTGATCAAACAAATCATCAATACGCGGCAATGGATAACGGTTTTTAATCGTTACCCGATTCAATTGCCGGTAATCAATACATAGCCTCAAAGTTTCGTCTTTCTTTCTCACAAACAACACTGGAGCTCCTCAAGGTGAAGTACTAGGATGAATAAAACCTTTATCCATTAATTCCTGCAACTATGCTTTCAATTCCCTCAATTCAGCAGGAGCCATATGATAAGGAGTCAAGGATATAAGATTAGTACCTGGAAGCAAATCAATGGTGAACTCCACATCTCGGTCTGGCGGTAACCCAGGTAAATCATCAGGAAAATGTCTGACTACCCTTACATCCTCCACACTACTAGGAGCAACATCGTTCAGCACCACATGAGCTAAGTATCCCTAGCAACCCTTCGATAACAACCTTTTTGCTCGCATAGCAGAAATAACGCCATGTCTCACCCCACTCTGCTCACCCACAAAAGTAACCACAGGTAATCTAGGACGACAGAAGGTAACTATTTTCCTGTAACAATCAATATTGGCACGATTGAAATGCAACCAATCTATGCCCAAAATCACATCAAAGTCAACAATATCTAACGGAATAAGATCAGCTGGCATAACAACATCCTCCACCATCATTGGACATCCTGGATACACACAATCAACAATACATCTCTCCCCTTTAGGCATAGCAAACTCTAAATCATACCCTAGAGGTGTAGCGTGAGGTTGCGTCACTTGAGCAAATGTATGAGAAATAACAGAATGTGTAGCACCACAGTCAATCAATACTCTAGCAAAATAACCAAGGATATTTAACGTACCCATGATCAAGTCTGGATTATTTTGAGCATCCTGCAGAGAAATATTGTGAATACGCCCCTGGGTTTGCTGTCATCCACCACGACCTCTACTAATCTGACCACTATGACTCTGTGCACTACACCCCTGACTAGGCTGACCAGACTGTCTTGAAGACTCTGCACTACTAGCAGCAATCTCCCCCTGCTGAGGTTGTCCTCCCTGGTACCACTGAGATCCACCCGTTGGAACTGGAGGATACGACATATAGCCACCAGAATACTGGGGATACCCACTCTGAGAATATGGATCCTGGGGATATGGATATTGTCTTAGGGCATAAGGAATAGCATCTCCCTGATAATAATAGGCACCACCATGATCTGTCTGCCCATAACTACCAGGGTCAGGAACCTGTTGGATCGGCGCAGGTGGTGGCAAGAAAGACTGTTGGGGCCTCTACTGACTCTGGGGACAATTTGCAGCCTGATGTCCCATCTGCCCACAAGTGAAACAACCACTGTTGCCTCTCCTACACTCTCCAAAATGTCGATTATTACATTTGCGACAAACCGGAGCTCTTTCTCTACCAGCATCACCCTGCCTCTGGCCTTTAGTACCCCTAGCAAATCTACCACCACGACCCTGACCAGTGGCACCAAAACCACCGCTAGAAGAACTAGAACTGGTTCCACCTCGCTTAAAGCTCTGGGTCTTGCGAGATTTGAGCGATGCCTGACCCTTGCCCTTGTCATCTTTTCTCTGGTTACCATCTTTTTCTTCCTCCTCACTCTCGCTGGGCATATTCTCGGAATCCTCAATCCTCAACAGAATCTCATAGAACTCCTGGTAAGTGTCACAAGGGGTAGTGGTCGCCATAGAACGCCACTTCTTCTTAGTATCCAAATGGAAACGACGAAGCATCTCCGTCGGATTGGCAACAACGTCCGGATAATAACAGGATAAATTAGTAAATCTTCGATAATACTCATTCGCTATCAACTTTCCTTGCCTCAACTCAGTGAGTTCCTGCTTTTTGCGATTAATGTACTCAGGAGGCATGAACCTTTTCCGAAACAACTCTCTGAACACCTCTCAATCAGTCATCTCCTCTGGGGACAAACGACGAACTTTCTGCTCCCACCAAGATGCAGATTCCTTACCCAAGAACCAAGATGTCGTCTCAACCCACTTCTTAACAAGGAGATTCCCCTGATTATGCAGTACATGAAAGGTCTTTTCAATATGTTCCAGCCACTGCTCAGCTCCCTCAAAACCCTCGAACTTATCAAGCTTCAAATTGTACATAGTCTCCAGATGAGTCCTCTGGGGAGGACGGAGCGTCGATTGAATGGCAGTGGCGATAGCTTCCCCCAGTTGAGCTACATTGAGGAAACTAGGCTCAGTAGAGCGACATGGTTCCCTACGAGGTGGCATAGTTCTGATAGAAGACACTAAAATACTTAGAACACTCACAAAAATACAGGACTGCTAAACTTATGCTCTGATACCAAACTGACATACCCCGACCGAAATCAGGGCGTGCTGCCCGTCACGTGAGAGTGACGTAACCATGTGCACCGTGCGGAAGCTAAGAATAATAATAAAAGTACGAATAAATAAAAACCAAGCTATACACTAAGTAGATAACATACATATGCAAGCGTAAGTGTGAAAAATAATATTTAGAGCGTAAAAGACCTAGTGCAGTCCAGGGGAACAAACACTAAATAAGCACACCTAGAGGTGGTCCTACGCTGGTGATAATCTGTCAGATATGCCGTGAATTCCTCGAGAGCCACCAAAAGAGTTATCTAAACTAGAACCTAGAGGGGCGCAAAACAGAAAGTGTGAGTGGGCAAAAACAAAGCTTTTCAAATCATTTCATTATCAAAAGTTCTAACCCCTCGCCATAAAACCTGTATAGTTTCCTAGAAAATAGCATATGCACATATATAGATAACATGCTTAGAAATATGCCATGTCGAATGCCTCTACATCAAATGTAAGTACTCAGGTAATAACAATCAATGCCATGTAATCTGTCAGCCGGAGTCACCTAACGTGACCTATACGGCTGAATCTAGAGCTCAAATCCACCACTCACTAACTATACCTGCACACGAGTCGGAACCACCTAAAGTGGTCTGTACGACAGGACTAGGTGTAAATAAATATGCTCAAGTGCTACAATCACGTGAAGACTGGGCGAATAATCGCGGGTCACCTACGAGTCGGAACCACCTATAGTGGTCTGTATGACAGGACTGTGCACCTAACTTGGATCCAAGATGAGCGTGTGGTGCGGGAGGTGAACATCACGTGAAGGATTGTGCCCTACTCTGGGCAGGAGCACTAACACCGGGGGTGCAGGTTATGAGCTCTCTATGCATCTCAAATCACTATTAAACACAAACATAAACCATAACTTACCTGACACTTACCTATGCGTCCATAGCACCAAACATACATATATGCAAGTACTAATGCATAAATAAATAGGCAAACGCAATGCATGGCATTTAAAACATATAAACGCTTCATTTCATTTTCTGGGAAAATCACAAGTATATATAGGTATGTACGGAAAACCAAAAGCCCACTCACTGGTATGTAGAAGGATCGTAACCCCCTTGCCTCGAGTGACTACGCTCGTCCTCGGGATAGGTTTCACCTATATGCGAAACAATTATAAAAACGTTAATTTAAAGCACATAACCAAAACTAGGTAATAACTTCTCATACAATACTCAAATGGGGTGTGTGAATACACCAACGTGGTCTACTCAACCTCACGAACATCCCCATATTTTTAAAATAATTTTTCGACGCCTCACGTGCCCCCACACGCCGGCCAAGGCACGGCCACATGCGCCGCCCACGCGCAGGCATGTGCCTGGCACACTGACGGCGTCAGCTAACGCCGTCAGGAATATTTCGTGAAAACTAACAGATTCCGTTACAGTTAACCTAAGGTCGTTAGGAATATTCCGTCCAAACTGACAGAATATTACGTTGTCTTCTCTGACCAACCTCCGGCGCCATCGCCGTCGTCGTCGCCGGAAAACTGGAAAAACTTCCAAACTTCATTTGTCACTCGTTTTTCACCCAAATTTAATGAATTTGGTACCAAAATGAAGCTTACAACTAGAGGAATAAAACCTTACCACTTCCAAGCACTAAAATCAACGGAATCTCGCTGGAAAAACTTCACAAAATCCGGCCAAACCTGCAACTCACGATACCGACATCCAAAACCTTCAAATGAAACACCTTGAGCTTCCTAAGGACTTCACTAAGATTCCTACAACCCTAAAATTCCCAAAAACACATGATTTTACGTGTGCATGAACAGTACCCTGAATTGAACATATCGGGTTTGACGTGAAAACAAAGGTTTCCTTACCTGAAACGGGTATGGTTGAACTCGTATGAAGCTCACGAACACAATGGTCTAAGTCTCCACCACGATCTACAACGTTTTCGAAGGATTCGGTCTTGTCCGTAAGAATAAGAAAAAGGGAAAGAGAGATAGACACACGGGACAGGGCAGAAAATGATAAGAATGGGTGTGGGTGTGTGTGTGTGGTCCAAAAGCAGCCAACCAAGCCCCAAAACAACCACACAACGAAACAAATCACTAAGGGCAAAATCGTCATTTCACACCTACGGTACGAAAAATCCGGGACGGGCTGTCACAACAAGTACATTAAAAATTAAAAATTAAAAAATAAAAAATAAATTAGGGGATTGAAAACACCTAGTTCCTAATACAAGAATTTGTTCCCGAACCGGCAACCCAATTGCTAGGAAAACGAGATGGACCCCCTTCCTGGGTTCGCGGTTGGAGTAGTCAATGCAGGTGAGCAAGACGAGATCACTGGAAGTGTTGGCGACGAGAAGGAGGAGCTATGGAGGGGTGTCGATGCGGAGATCGACGAAGTACTGTCCAAAACCCCAAAATTAAATCCCTTATGTCCACAAAGCAACCAACGCCCTCCGTTAATTTCCCTCTCTCTATAGCTTTCACCACCAAGCCCCGACCCAACCTTGCGAAGCATCCCTAAAATGGGTATGGGAACCTCGTTTTTATGGGTTAATTTTTTAATGTCCACTGGGGCTCATATTTACATATGACATCCAATCATTGTCTGCGTAGATGTCACGTCATCAGTTAACGAAGTTTCTGATAAAAAACTTAACAAATGTATAAAAGTATCCTAGAATTATGACTTTAGGTACCAGATCGGGACGAAAAAAATTTGATTATGAAATGTTGAAAATAAAAAAATTTCAGGATAGTAAACTGAGATTAACCTTTTTTTTATTTTTTATTTTTTATTTTTTAGTTTTTAAAATTTTTAATATTCACGCGGGTTCTAGATTAATACATGGCGCCCAGTCATTGTTCACGTAGGCGTCACGTCATAGATTAACTGATGTTTTAACAGAAAAAACTTAACATATGTATGAAACTAGCTAAAAATTAATACTTTAGGTTCCAAACTGGGATAAAAAAAACTTGATCAATGAAATATTGAAAACCAAGAAATTTCATAATAGTAAATTGAGATTAATCATTTTTTAAATTTCTAACCAATTGTATTATTATATTTAATGTTTCGAGCCTTATTCTTGACGTATAAAAAAATAAAATTGTCAAGCAACCAAGAAGAAAACACCTGTCGGCATCAGCAAGTTGACACCTTTCCTATACCCTTTAAAAACTATTTTTATACTCCCAGACTAACCCCACGAATATTCTTAATAAAAGAGATGGATTGCTTACCCTTCCATTTTCATACTTTTCTTATACTCTTTTGTGATGTGTGATCACGACTAAGGTACGTTAATATTTTATATTAATTTTTTATAAAAATAATAAAACAAAAAGTAATATTAATATAAAATATTAACATGACTTAATCGTAAGCACACAAATAGAAAGATATGTAAAAAATATGGAAATGAGAAAGCAAACAATCCTACTCGCTTAATAAAACCCTATAGAGTTACCTTATTATCCCTATCATCCTACAAAATCCCCTTCCCAAAAAACGGAAGTACATCCCTCTCCCTCTTCTCTCGAGTGAATGGAGAAAGGTGAGGGCTCAATGGCCGAGCAAGACGAGGCGGAGGAAACCCAGCACCACCTCACCCTCCCGTCCGGGTTGACTCAGGACGAGTTCGACGAGTTGAAGCAGTTCGTCAACGAATTCCACAGGTACCAGGTGGGCCCCGGAAAATGTTCTTCCCTACTTGCGCAACGCGTGCACGCGCCACCCGACACCGTGTGGTCTCTGGTGCGGCGCTTCGACCAGCCCCAGACCTACAAGCACTTCATCCGGAGCTGTAACGTGAAGGAAGGCTTTAAAATGACCGTCGGGTGCACCAGGGACGTCAATGTTATCTCCGGCCTACCGGCTGCCACCAGCACCGAGCGCCTCGACTTACTCGACGAAGACCGCCACGTCACCGGTTTCAGTATCATTGGGGGCGAGCACCGCCTCAGGAATTACCGGTCCGTGACGACCGTGCATGGGTTTGACCGTGACGGAAGGATCTGGACCGTTGTTTTGGAATCCTACGTCGTCGATGTGCCCGAGGGGAATTCCGAGGAGGACACGCGTCTCTTCGCGGATACTGTTGTCAAGTTGAATCTCCAGAAGCTGGCGTCGGTCACCGAAGGCCTGGCGGGCAACGGTGGATGCTAAATCTCAGGTGATGCGAGAAAATTTAACACGAATTAACAAATAAAAAAAAACAGGAATGGAAATGTTTGTATTTTTATTTTTAATTTGTGCTTTGTTCTGAATTTTCTATTTTATCTTTTTTTTTTAATTTGTAAATTCGCCTCCCATGTAATCCCCAAAATATCCTTGGTTTTAAATGATTGTCCGGGATGCCATGCTTTTGGTAAGGTCGGAATTGTGAGGACAGGGAAAGGGTATTTGAGTCAATGCGTACGTAAAGAAATGTGAATATTTGATTTGTCATTTGGGTTGTGTGGGCGGAGAGATTTTTCCAAGCGATCGGTACACGGAATAATATAATACGTGTCATTAAATAAATAGTAAGAAATGTGTGCTAAAAAGTTAATAATTTAAAAAATAAAATTTTTTGTAATTTTTATTAAAATATGTAATGTATCATATGTGTTTTCGTTATAACTAAAAATTTCTCGTGTAGGCGGACTCAAGTCTGACGAGCAAGTTTGCTCATAAAAAAAAAAAAAAAAAAAAAAAAGGGTTTGAAGTACAAGTTAATAAATAGATTAATGGAAAAGGGGTCACAATCGTAGTTGCTAGTTTAATCCCGCCCTATAAATAAATGCATAAAAGAAATTGGAATCTATGCTGTTGACTTTATGTAAGAATCCAATTGCCATAAATGGGGCTTTTTGTTACTCCAAGTTTCCCATCACAATTTACAATGCACTAACCGTTCACTTTGGTTTTTTTTTTTTTTAAATAAACAATATTATCTACGTAAAAGAAGGAAAAAATATGCTTAATTTTACAATAAATTAAGAATAATATTGTTCAAACTCGTATTTGACAATAATCGAATCTAAAACTTCTCGTCTAATCCAAATCAGCTACAACTAAACGAAACCAAAAGCAAAGCTTGAAGGCTCAATTCCTAACTGCTACAACTAAATCTAAGGTTACAAATGAAATGAAATACTACTAAACTGTAGTACTAAGTATTAAGTGGGGACACTTCATTCTATTTAAATGTTAATAATATATATATATATATATATATATATATATATATATATATATATGGGTTGTAGGCTTGTAGCTATCGTAGTTATCAAGTTCAATGTATCTCGGGGCAGGGGTAAGCATTGGTTTTATCTCAAAACCAAACACCAAATTAGTTGCTTGTAGTTCCCTTTCGAGTTGACAAACATAGTTAACTTTTTAGGGTCAAAGCCAACTGGTCACCGATAGTATATCCCCGACCACCGGTGCGCATTGCAAAGTTTATTATTTATATAAGAAAATTAATGAAAAGAGTTGAAAAACTTTGAATTTTAATGATAAGGACAAATAAATGGTAAAATAAATAGTACCATGATTGATTTTTTAGTATAAAAATATGATTTTTCGTTAAAGTAACCAATAACAAGAACTTTTCGTTAAAATTCCTTATTTATATTAACTGTATATTTCTTACCTATTACTTGTAAATTGTTTTTTCAGTGTGGGATTTTTAATTTTTTACAAAACCGAAAATCAAGTCAAAGTAAACATTTGTTACTGTTTCTTTTTAAATTTTACTATTACTAAGAGGATGAGAGAAAGTTCGAAGCTATTATGATTAATTTAGAAAATTAGTGAGTTTTAAATCCAAGACACGTGTGGAGAAAATAACATACAATCAAGCACATGTAAAATCCCATTAAGCCACTAATGTGACAGTGCTCATCGATAAGGATCAATAGTAAATTGTTATAGCATGACAGATTTATAATGATATTACATTTGATAACTCAAATTCGCCTCTAACGAGAACGTAAAGCTTAACTATTCTTTTATCGTCTTAAACTCAAAAGGGGAGCTATTATCAAGGCCCCTAAAACTCGCCTTGTATTCTCCATTTGTTTTTGAAAAATCATCTGAGAAGAATTACATTTGGAGAGTGCCAATACTTGTGGGTGTACCGAATGGGAGAACTATTCCATGGCCTAGGAATTTGCATAATGGCAGCTAATGGGAAAAATCTTCCATGACCTAGTAATTTGCATGTTGGTGGTTGGCATTTATCAGCACTAGTCACACTCCTATGCTGCTTTCCAAATCCAGTCATTGTCACTTGTCATCGCGTTTGGACTTTGGACTGATGGCGTTTTTTTCTTTCGGAAAAATTATAGTAATGGTGTTGTCTGTTATCCAAAAAAAAAAAAAAAACAAAGAAAATTATAGTAATGGTTTCAACTTTAACGCAATTGAAGCAATAGTATTGTAATTAAAAATTCATAACTATTGGTCCTTTAATTCATCAAAACATGCATCTATAATTTTTTTCGTCAACTCAGTCAAAATGTCGTCAAAATGAGTCATGTTGGAAGAACCATTGCTACAATTAGGTTAAAGTTGATGGATTAATGCTCCACTTGGGTTAAAGTTGAGAAACAATTTCTCTAATTGGGTTAAAGTTGAGGGATCAGGGCTACAGTTTTTCTCATTTCATTTTTCATATTTGCTCATTGATTCAGCCTCAAGTGTGTGGCACGTGATTCATTTTGACAGAAGTTCTAACGGAATTGACGAAAAGGACCATAGCTGGACGTTTTGAAGTAAAAGGGACCAATGATCATGAATTTTTAGTTAATAGACTATTACAACAATTAAATTAAAATTGAAAAACTATTGCTACAATTTCCTCTTTTTCTTCGTGAGGTTAATCTGTTTTTCTTTTATTTTATTTTTTCTTCAAATTTTGAGGTCTGTTTTAGATCAAATCCTCGGAAATTTTCAAATGTATTATTGAAACCTTTACAAAGTGGGAGTTCTACTATACTATAGACTCATACTTTGCGTTTTTTAAATTGATAAATCTTTGTTTGAAAATATTTTATTATAATGTTTAAAATACTGATGAATTTTTGTTTGAAATACTAAGTTTTAATGATTAAAACATCCAGAATATCTTATACTTTACTGAATTGTGAAATTTTTGGTGTGGTTAATAACAACAGAATCTTTCCCTACAGAGAAAGTACTGCCGCTATTGCTAATTTGTTATAGTGGGAATCCAGATATGGAAGCCAAATAATAGTGCCGAAAAGAGATTTGCCCATATATGGTTATGGTAGTACCTGAACCTGATACTACTATAGGAGAAACCTTTCATTGAGTTGGGGATACGATTCGATACACTTAAAAAAAGCATTTGAACATAAAAATTGGTTAAATGTTGTCTCTGGAATTTGGCGGCGCAAATCAATATTGTCCTTATGTTAGGGTTTTGTCAAAGGTTTTGTTTGTCTTCAATAGTTCAACTTACTAAGTAATTCAACTTTTTTTTTTCTTGTTTTCATTAAAGGTCATTTATTACGGCAAGTGATGAATTGTCTTGATGATTAGACATTCCTATTTATTCTACTGCATTCTAAATTTAAACCCGCCTACCTACCTGTACTAAATAAATAAAAACTCCATTATAACAATGGACAAGAAAACTCATATGAACAGTCTATCACAGTCAGGAGTAGTATAGAGATTATGAGAAGTCAATCCAATTGTTGTATATATAAATTTGTTATTGCTTGGTAGGTTGATAGTGGTGGGGTAACGTTGAACTCATATATAAACGAGACAAGTAGGATTATTAACTACTAATGTCAATGTCATGTGAGGTTGAGGTGACGAGAAATGGGATTGGAACGTATCTGAAATTGTCAGTGAATTGGTGAGTTAGATGTTTGGCATGGTACTATATAGTATATGAATGGATAATGTTAGGATATGTTATGATTAAATATCGACGAACTAATTTGTGAGCATGCTGACTTTCCTATTTCAAGTGTTGATTAATATACAACATCAATAATGCCACATGTTATGATAAATATATGCGCAATCTATCATATTCTACACTACATCTTAATACTACGTGATAATACTTTGAAGCAAAAAATAATCTTAAAAATCTTGAGGACAACGCATAGACCTTTTTTTTTTTTATGAAGAATACGAGATTGCCCTCATTACATTGGCATGGCACACAAATATTCCTATGCACAACTCAATATCTTTGGAGGTCCAAACAACTGACTATAATTGCTCAAAACTCTCCTACTCGTGGTGTGACATCCCGTCCCGAAAATATTGAAAACTCATGTGTGAAATGACTACTTTGCCCCTAGTTAGTTTCTTTTACGTTTATTGGTTGTTTTGTGTGGTGTTGGCATGTGTTGGGCCACACACTCACACTGTCACTCTCCCTAACCCTCTGTCCCTTTCCCTGTCTCTCTCCCGAGCTCCCTTTCTTCCCATTTCCCTTGAAAACGTACGGACATTCACCAAAACCCAGCAAACACCCACAGATCGAGGGAACTAAGACCACATTCGTGATCGTGAGGCTCGTGGGAGTCCAGTCGTACCATTTTCAGGTAAGGTTATCATCGTTTTCACGTCGATTTCACGAAGTCAGTTTTGGGGTACTATTCATGCAAACGTAAATCCTCACGTTTTAGGGAAAATGAAGCTTGTAGGTAGCTTAGTGGTGTCCCAAGGAGTCTCGGAGTACTTCGTTTGAAGGAGTTGGACGTCGGAATCGCCGTATTCGAAGTGGGCCGGAATTGGAGTGTGGTGACAGGTAAGATCTTGTAGTTTTTGACTCTTAAAAGTTGTATGGTTGTGTTCTCCTAGTCTTAGGCTTCGTTTTGGTGCAAAAATCACGAAAATTGGTTGAAAAACGAGAGAGAAATCGAAGTTTGCAGGTTTCGCGATTTTCCGGCGCCGGCGACGGCACCGGAGGTTTGCCGGGGAAGGAGACGGAATATTCCTGATGCCGTTGACGGAATCCGTTAGAACTAACGGAATATTCCTTACGGCGTCAGTTGACGCCGTCAGCGTGCCAGGCACGTGCCTACGCGTGGCCGGCGCGTGGGGGCGCGTGCGGCGGTGGAAATTTTTTCTAAAAATTTGGGTGTGATCCTGAGGTTGTGTAGAGCACGTTGGTATATTCATTTGTCCAATTTGAGCAATGTATGAGAAGTTATTACGAGAAGTTGGTTATGTGCTTTAAAATTAATGTTTTTATAGTTGTTTCGCATATAGGTGATACGTATCCCGAGGACGAGTGTGGTCACTCGAGGCAGGGGGGCTACGACCCTTCCACATACCAGTGAGTGGGCTTTTGGTTTTCCGTATATACCTATATACTATATTTTTCCCAGAAATT